TTAAACAATTTTTCTTTAAAGGGCCGGTGTCAGTACCAGATATGTTCGGCCTACCAAATATGTTCGGGTGTATTTCCGTCGCATCCGTCATCCGTCATATCCGTCATATACTCACCTCCCTCTGCTCCCAGCGCTATGCTGCCACACACCGGCCGTCTGCGGAACTGTAGCCGGAGGAACTCGGTACAGCTTGTTATGTGTGAACGATCTAGATCCCTCCGCTTCCCCATAATTACCGCGACCATTTTAACTTTCATGACAGAAATGGAGAGCTTTTATGCTGAGATAAAGCAGTACGTGCTCAATGGTGGTTACCACAATCTCACCATCGCCGCTGAAAAGCATGATAAAAGGAAGGCGTTAATTCGGAGGGCATCCAAACAATACCTGATCAAAGGTAAGTAACAGAATAAGACCATGGTTAAGTCACGAACATACGTTTTTATTATGAGGTATAAACCCCCTGTACATGTGACATCATCACATCCCTTTACTTATAGGGATCAATAAAGTATATATCTATCTATCTATTTATCTAATGGTGTTTTTTGGTGCAAAAGTGATCATACCTCTAATGGTTTATCATATTGCAATTCCAACATTTTTCAGTAAATCGCAAGGACTCCACAGCTTGTTTCTCCTTTTTTCTTTTATACACACTTTACATTACTGTAGTTGTTACGTCTAAACCACATTTGCCACTGGATTTCTTGAACAGCTTTTAGTCATAATGTCATCTCTACACATGTCTAAATGATTGTTTTGTTGTTCCTGTTGTGCCAGCTGGAGATTTGTACTACACATACAAGGACAATGAGAGGATGGTTGTGTGCACCAAGGACCAAATTATCAATGTCCTGAAGGAGTGCCATGATAACCTGGGTTCCGGAGGTCATGCAGGGAGAAGGCGCACCACCGAGAAGGTTTTGGCAACGTACCACTGGTCCACTATGCGGGAGGACGTGAAGAAATGGGTGGGAGTTTTTGACTGACTGACTGATTATTGATCTACAGAAATGTGTTGTATGTGTACATTGAAACAGAGTGAGACATGTGTGGATCTCATTGGCCCACTTCCCTCCACTGCTAAGGGCAAAAGGTACTATCATGATGGGCTGAAGCATGTGTAACCTCCTTTAAAGGTTCTAAACGTGAAGAATCTGGTTTAAAAAGAAAGGAAATCATTTACAGTGATTCTGTATATATTTACAACATTCTGCATTTTATATTGCAGATACATTCTAACAGCGACTGATCTGTTCACGAAGTGGGTGGTAGCAAAAACGCTCTACCACAAAACAGCTGTTGAGGTCTCAAAAAAGATTGTAAATATTCTTCTCGATTTCGGTCTTGTCGAGAAGATCATTACCGACCAAGGACGGGAATTTGTCAATGAGGTACAATAATCTATCTAATACAGTGTATGTGTTATGTGTAACAATGTAATACGATTTTTCAGGTAATTTGGTAATTGGTGTACACTAAACCATCTGCAGGTCAACCGTGGTGTTTTTGATGCACTGGGTGTAAAACACTGCATCACTTCAGCGTACCATCCCCAGTGCAATGGCCAAGATGAGCGTACAAACCAAAACATAAAAAAAGCACTTGCAAAGTACTGTGGAGAGGACCAGAATGACTGGGATTTACATCTGAGGGGCATTGTGGCGAGCATTAACACCTCAAAGCAGGTACAATGTTGTAACAAATGCAGATGGAAACATACTCAACAGAGATACTAAAAGGAATTTTTATGCTTTCAGAGGTCAACCAAGTGCACGCCCTATTTTGCCCAGTTTGGGAGGCCACCCTCGCGTCCCGGGTGTTATAAATGCTACAGTCAATGACAGGGATGATACCTCTGTTTTGGTGCCTGCTGATGAGGCAGAACAGCAGCTTGAGGCAAAGGCTGCAACCATTGCAGATTTGCACTCGAAGGTGAGAATAAAATGGCAATATTTAAAACATAATAACTCCTAAAAAATGCAAGCGTATGTTAAGGACTGTAAATGATAACTGTTACATATCTTTCTCAGATTTACCAGAAACATCCAAATAGCACAACAGAGACAGAAAATCTCTTTTGAAAAACGCAAGGGAAAGAATGTGAAATCTTTCCTGATTAACGTTGGAGATGAGGTCCTAAGAGCGAATAAGAGGAAGGAGGGCCGAAAAGGTGGAAAACTGGAGTGCAACTGGTTTGGCCCTTATGTGGTTTCCTCAATCACCAACAAGGGTGTGGCAACCCTGTTGAGCTCAACAGGAGCTCAGCTGAGACAGAGTGTGAGTGTGTCTCAGCTGAAGCCCTTTATCAGGCCTATGTTGAGAGGTATTTTGATTATCAATACAAGGACACATTTTAGGTATACTTCATGTGTGGTACTTCAATAATACTGTTTATTTTGTGTCTATCTAATAACAGCTGAACCGAAGTTGGATTCGGAGGGGTCAGTTGCTGACCACCAGTATGCCCTCTCTGGTGCGAAATACGCAAAGGATCTACATCCGATTCAAGACAAGCTGGTAGATATATGTTTACTTCATGCACAGTGATGGAGGTGCATTGTTTTGATTTTAATTTTTCTATGTTTTCTATTGGCTTGAAGTATGTTTTGCAATCTGTTATTTGCAGCTCAGCTATGTGCTAGACCACAATAGGCCTGGAGCAGAGGTCATTGTGAAGGAGGGTGATGTGTGCCTGACCAGAGAGGACTTTTGGAGCCTGGGTCTTCCTCAGTGCATGGAGTCAAATGTAGGTATACTTGAGCTTTCCTCCCAACTTCATCTTGTCTCAAATAAATGGCACAGGTAACTTACTGTTGTTACTGTTTCAGATTGGAAACACGTGCCTGAAGATGGTACAAGAAGCCACCCAAAGACATGTACGGTTTTCAACAGACATCATTGGCCTGCTTTTTTCTTTTGAATAACACATATTTTCTAAATAGCTGTTTAGTGGTGAAACTCCAATCTCGTGAAGTGTGGTTGTCTCTTGTTGTTGAACATACTTCTATGAAGATTTCATTTTTTTTGAAAAACTATCAATATAGGGCAAAGATATATACATCGTGGATATGTATGTGGTTCCTACCTGGAAGTCCAAAACAGCTGACGTGTTGGCCAGTTTTCCAGTAAGTTCCTGTTGCTTGAGACCTATGTTTCTTGAAATTGATATACAGCAACTTAAAATCCCTTGTTTAAAATACTAGGCTGACCAATTGGCCACCAAGGACATGGTTTTCATCCCTGCCTGGAGTCGGCAGCAAGGAAAGGCAGATCACTATTTGCTTTGCGTGAGTCTGTTCCAAATGATCTCACCAGCATGTACAAAATGAACATAAGTTGTGCTGTGTGGTTTTCTTCTGGTGTTTGATTATGTCTAATTTCAGCTATTTTGTCAATGGTTGACAGGTGATCAAGCCAGCAAAGAGAGAGTTATATTTGCTCGACCCTCTTAAGCCAGATGGCTTTGGGGACAATTCCTACAAGGACATATTTAGGTTTTTGTAGCATGATTACCCCCTCACCGTTCTGTGGCTTGTATGGGAGTTCTAAATAGTTTATAGTATTCTAATACTGCAGTAACCATCTTGTAGACCAGGGGTCTGAATCTGATCAAATTCATTTATAATATATCTCCATTTCCACAAAGTCTGGAGTGTCCTTAGTGGAACCAAAAGAAAAAGAGTCTGCAACAGGATGCTATGAATTATAATATTCATTTTGTTATAAGCCTTGTTCAAAGGTTGTTTTCAAGTTCAGCTTTGTTCAGCGGCTGGTAAACGTATTTTTGTTTGTTTTATTTTAGCCCCGTTCAGTGGCTTTCATAACTTTCCTCTTTTAAGGCATGCAATAGTTCAATGTAAGGAAATCCAAAAACATGAATTATATTGTGTATAGCGTTCCTTCACCAAATCAATTCCCATGTCTTATCATTTCTTTTGACAGTGACCTAGCGCACCGCATTGCTCCAGGTCAGTGGACAGTAAAGTTCGGCAGAGACGTCAAGGTACATTTCTCCACCATCTCATACACCTGCTTTCACATGTCTTTATTTTCCATTTGACCATGAACATCACTGTTATATTCCAAATTCTTACAGGGTTAGCCTCACCAAACCACGGGCAATGACTGTGGTGTCTTCATACTGATGGTAAATTCCTCCCTTGACACTTTTTTTTAAGGGGTTTTGTTAGTTTTTGAAACTCATAACTTAACAGATCTTTATCCTTTCACAGTATGCACTCAACTTCAGCACAGATGCTCTACTTTGGTTTACCGAGGTCAGTATTTATCCTCTGAGTTAGTATTTCAGGGGGAAGAGGGGGCTAACATTGAGTAGACAAATGATGAGGTTCCATTCATTTTCAACTTTATTATTGTTACATTTTCTTTTAGCGGGACATAGCACAGATCCGGAAATGGTGGTGCATTATGCTCATGGAACGGTACCAGATTGAAGGGTAAATCATACATTTTAAATGTTACTTTATAGACAACAGTTTCTTTGACACTGATTTACATTTTCATCCTGATATTATGTGATTTTTATAGCCACGGACAGATCCAGATTATTTAACACATGCATACATATTGATAATTGTATACACATGTAATTAAACAATCACATGACCCACACCTTATATTTTCCTTCAAAGGTCCAGTTTCAAAAGTCCGACATGTGCTTCATATTGGAGGTAATATCTTTTCAGTGAAGCAGTAACTGTTTTTTGTTTAAAAAACGACCTGTGATCACGGCAGAATTTCCAACTATTATGTCTCACTGCTTTTTTTTAACTTTATTGATAGCTGTTTTTTACCTCAAGGAGAAGAATAACAAAACATAAGAAAAATGTGTGTGATATATTCAACATTAATATTAAAAATGTGTCTTTTTGCTACCTGAAGCCCAAAGAATCTTGGTATTTCGATTGTGCTGGCAACAGTCTAGTCAATGTGTTGTTAAATATGTTTGATCTAGTCTGACCAATACTTCACAGCTGCCAAACTGTCTTCTCTCGGACCTTCTGATGGAAGTGGTTCTCCAGGAAGGTGACAAAGCGTACTCATCACTCACTCTAGTGTGTACCACCTTCAGAGACACAATGTCCACTGTGTCTTTCAGAAGAGGGGCCCACTTTCGCTGGCTTGAGAGTAAGTGATTCAGTGAAGGTGCAGCACTATACGACAGCTGTGGTGTCTATGCATATTTTTAATGGCTCTATTGAAATGCTTGTTTTACACAGGTGTTGCTACATGGAGTTTGTTCTCTGCTTCATACAAGCAGGATTTCAACGTCATGTACACCATTGACACCTGCCGTGGATGCTTGGAGCCTTACAAAAACTGCAAACCAGGTAGACTTCTTATTCTGGATAATAATGTTTATGTGTCATTACATATTTAGTGTGTTGTGGTCCTAGTGTGATTCAATTACAATATTTTCTTTTTCTATTCATAGGATATGTTGGGAAAGGTAAAAGAGGAGAATTGCAGGGCATCTACTCTGATGACCAACATCCAGGCTATTGCAGTCCCTTCTGCAACCAGATATCATAGGTAAAGATTAACTCACACAAACAAATGTCAGAATAGACTAAATTGTCACTGCAATTAATGAAGATCATCATTTGATATCTTACCTTCAAGTTTGGTTTTCCCGGACGCTGCCCGTCGTGGACTTCGGGTCGTGGACTTCGGGTCGTGGCTGAACCTGTCTCTGCAGTCCTGCCTTGGGTCATGCTGCTTCCCTGATGGCTTCCTCATATATTCTGAACAATCTGTGCTGTTTTCCTATCCACATGTAAAAGGAACTAGAAGGATTTCTTGATACTAAGGGCTGTAGAGAAAAGTTTGGAGCTTTTTCCATTAACGTTGAAGTTCAAATTCTCAATAAACACTTGAATGCTGTGCTGTCTTTCTATTTACTTGAATGTGTGAATTCATTCAGTTGGGTAGGTAAGCTTGGGATGGATATATGAAATATATACATACAAAAAATTAGAGACTCTTTCCAATGAAAGTAGCTAGCCGCAATAGCTCCAAGATTGCTATATCTAGTTTGTAGGTCGCCAAGTTGGCATCATTGACAGTTCGTCTCTTAAAGCCTCTAAAGCTCTGCAACAAAAAAGGATCATTATGAATGTAAATACTATACATGGTAATGCAGCAGGGCATAGTGCGATGAGGCAGGCAGGCAGAACCAGATTTATTTCTAAATATTTGTCGATCAATATTAGGCTACACTAATATAAGGCTACTAGTATTATGATATTACTGCAATAATATTCCAGTGGTGGCTGCTTAAGGTTGTTTCTGGCTCGTTTGATCCAAACATTGTCCAAAGCTCAAAATGTATTGTAATAGATGTAAGAATTCTCAAAATGTACAATATGTTTTGATCCAACACAATATTCTGATTCAATCCATATATGTTAGGGGTTTTTTTTTCACCAAAATAAATAGACTGCCTTCTCTCCAGCTCACCGCACACAAAGGGGGGGGGGGGGGGGGGGGGGGCATCTGTATTAACGGGTCAGTCTATAAGCACTCTAATAGCACCATAAATTACATTTAAATAACCACAAAAAGACAATTATTGTTTCCGATATTGATTTAACGAGATGCTGTTATAACATGGAAACGGCTTAATTTAAAAAAAATAAGCTTCAAAAATGTTTTATGAAGCACACTGGGTACAGCCCTGTAATACATGTGTTCCGTGTGTATATAGTCTTACGCAAGAAACACATAGCATGAACAGACTGCAACAAAACCAGTCTTACAAAACAGACTTCTGCTAAACTGGTGCAGAAGCAAAGCATCTACCTTAGATGAAGTTCACACAGAACTGTGGAAAAGGGAGAACATCTGTACTTGCTTTCAACGACATGATCAGGCTTATATATTATAAAAGTGTTGGCTAAAGTAACGCAGAATATATATATTTTTTAATTGTAAATAATTAAGTACACACACATAACAAGCTGTACCGAGTTCCTCCGGCTGCAGTTCCGCAGACGGCCGGTGTGTGGCAGCATAGCGCTGGGAGCAGAGGGAGGTGAGTATATGACGGATATGACGGATGACGGATGCGACGGAAATACACCCGAACATATTTGGTAGGCCGAACATATCTGGTACTGACACCGGCCGGCCGTCAACGGCTCTTCACGACTGGCCGTTCTGTGGTTCTCCAGATTCTACAGATGGCCAGTCCGCCCCTGCCATGAGCTGATTATCGAGCCTTCATTGTAACAGTCGCGGGTACACTGTGTATTTGCGTGGGGAGAGTTGCACTAGAAAATTCCACCCGGTACATTAATGGGAAAGCCTAAATGTTTGAGCACCCTCTATGAAACGTCAAGCTACCCCACAGCACCCCCAAAAGAAATCTCTGGGCCCGCCACTGAGCCTGCAACCCCGTTTTGAAGAAATGTGCAGTGCAAAACAGGCTCATTGCAGCCACTAATGCTGTGATAAGACCTTATATATACAGTCTATGGATAAGACACACTGTTTTGCCAAATATCAGCATTTTCTTTCCTTTCATTTTTTTGCACAGATTGCAAAGTGGCAAAGTATTATAACTTATTGTTCTAGCAAAGGGATTGCATAATTGTATTATGTATTTCTTTTTTTGACCACACAGACTTATGAAGCATTGTTTTATTATCACTGTTCTGAGGAATGCTCACGTTCATATTGATGTATTTTAATAAATGTTAACTTGGCCCATTACGTGACTATTTGTGTTGGGGGGGGCCCGACTTTTTTTTTTCTCCAAAGGGGGGCCCTGACAGAAAAAGTTTGAGAACCACTGCCCTAATGTCACATCAAATTATGAGGCTTATTTGATTGAGTATTGTTTGCAATAGGAATCTGAAACTGCAAATAAACGAGTAACTATCAAATACATTTAAAGTAGTACACAATTAAATATTGTTTTCCAAAATTAGAGATAACAGAAAATTAAAATAGGAAAGTAAAGTAGGAATACCTTAAATCTTAAATTCTTAAGCGCATTACTCGAAAAGATTAAGGACAACTTAGTTACTGGCAGTAAGTCTACTGTTCTATGTTCTGTTGCAACATGCATTACCTTCTTCTTCATCTGAATGTTTGGCCTCTTTCGAACAGGTTTACGAGCATCTTCCCTGCTCAAGTGCTTCAAACCTGAACATCGAACCCACTCACAGGAATCAGAATTACAGTCACGATGTCAGGTGGCCTGCCTGCAGTACCCGCTGTCCACCAGCTGTGGTCGCTGTTGAGGAGTTAGCAGAGTGAGAGGTCTTCCGGTTCCTCTCAGATCAGCTGACTCTGATGCTGCTGTCAGGAGACCTCAACAACTCTCTTGAAACTACGGTAACTATGAAAATTATCGAGCCATAGAAACGCTATTCACAGCTATATTTTCCCACTGTTAGCGGACATATTTTCTATTCACAGGTGAGCAAAGTAGTGACGCTGTGTTGGTGTTGTTGTGAGCAGAGCTAAGTGGCTAACGGTAGCCAATCCCTGTTGCCTGACCTTAACCATCTTTTTGCTAGCTTCGGTTTGTATACACTCATGTTAAAATCATACAATGGCTCTGTAACATTGGTAAGCAGTCAGGAAATTGACATTTTGAGTGTTGGCAAAATAGTAGAGTTTGTTAAAACACCTCTATCATTTCAGACCACGTTCTTATCGGTGTCAAATTAAACTCAACCAGAGGATTGCTTAGAGGCTGTGTTGTTAATTTCTTTTGAGCACTATCATAACTATCTTAGCTTGCTTAGTGGTAAACACCGTCAGTGCTAAAATGTAGCTAAGCTATGCAAATACAGTGCTACCTGTACTGTAGGCTAATCAGTGCTGTTGATAAGAAGACAATCTAACTGGTTCTCAATGTTGTATTAACTGTTGCACAGCACACATAAGTCTGAGTTTCAGTTTTGCTCTCAGTTTCCTCTAGCTGCATCAGAGCTGTAACCATGACTGAGTTTTGGTTGATCTCTGCCCCGGGAGAGAAGACCTGCCAGCAGACATGGGATCAAATGATGGCAGCCACCACACGTAACAACAACCTGTCCACCAACCACAAGTTCAACATCCCTGACCTCAAGGTTAGAATGGATTCATCACAATTTCACACTTTCTTTACACAATTACTTTGCATCTATGGACTTGAATAGTTAAATATGCACGTAATTGTATTTCTTGCAGGAGTTATAGTTACCTTTCATCCCTTTAAAAAAGTAATGGTTGATTTACATTTAAAGTTATATATAAATGACTCACCTTATATATCCACTGTCAAGAATAAGCTGACTGTGTGAATGGGAAGCAGTCTTGACACAGATCCGTTGCCTGCATGTTGAAGCGTTAGTTTGGTAAAGTTTTCATCCGTAGAGCAGCTCCGCTCCTATGGTTTGATTCCTCTCCGTGCAGAAGGTGAAGTAACCCCACTGACCTCGCAGCCACACGGGCCAGTAACGTTCTCCTAGAACTGCTAGCGATGCATCAGTGGCTCTAGACAAAGAGGCGCCATCATAAGCACATTGGGCCCCCGGGATGTGACTGTAGGTGGCGTGAACCTCAGATTTCACTGTTAAAACACAACCCTGGTTGACCCCGCTTCAAAACGACACAAATCTCATGACTGATGAAAGTCATGATGTGCTGATGTTTCACTTTATGTGTTCACAAACAGGTGGGGACCCTAGATGTCTTGGTTGGGCTGTCGGATGAACTGGCCAAATTAGACTCCTTTGTGGATAGGTAAGCTACCTGCTGTATTCTGACTGGAGAATGCCTGATATTCTCTTGGGCTGAACAATTTATAGTAATTTAATCAAAATCCTAATAAGGACTACTGCAATATCTAACTCGTAGAAAACGCTAAATATGTGCTAACAAACCATTTTTGTGTGGGAGAGAAACTCTCTCTGGAGGGAACTTTGGAATTTGATCCTTTGCAGACCATTTACATGCACACAAACCTATATAACAAACTACAGGAAAGTGAAAACCCCCCATAGCATAATGGGGCCCCTTTACGCATTTTAGTGCTACAGAGATATCCCTCCCTACTACTCATATTTTACAGATTTAAATTTGGTATGGATCCTGACAAAACATCACCCTATGATCAGTTTATTACATATTTTAATTTGGAAAAATAAAACAATAATGCAAAAATGATCTTTCCCTCCAATATCCTGAATCATATTGCAATTGTAACATCAGTGAAATAATCCCTTATAGATATTTTGTCCAAATCTTTCAGCTCATCATTATGAATAAGGCCTGTATTTGATAGGACATGAAACAAACCTCCTCTCCTGTGCAGCGCTCTCTGATGTACCCGCTTTTCCTTTTCCTAATCCCTTCCCTCACCTTGTAACGATGGGGAATTTCACAGAGGCTTGAGGCTAGCGGGCCTCGCAGTCTAAACTTGGCAATTTACAGTTGGGTGACACACCAGCAGGTCTTTCTTGAGTCATATTTCCACCCAGTGACCTATGTGCTGCAAGTATGTTTGAGTGTAATTTATAGTGTTTTGGAAACATTGACATAAAACGCTCACACACAGCCAACACTGCCTGAGCTTGGCTTTGCTGTAGCGATCTCCAAGAGGGTGAGAAAGAGTAGCCGGCCAACCGGTTTCACTTATCTCAATA